CATAGAGGTGTATTGCCTAGACTATGAGTCAGCTGTTTCCTTTCATCGTACGCGTAAGAGCACCTGGCGCTTTGTTTTTCAATGCTTTACAATCCAATTGTTTTGACGTCCTTGTATAAGAACCTGCGGAGTCCAGTCTTAACTTGGCCGGCAGTAAATTCTGCTTGTTTTTGTGTTTTCTTGGCTTAGACAGAATATGTATCATGCAAATTCTGCCCAACAGACGATTAGGATCGTCATGCAATGCCTGTAATTTTCCAGAGTGATTAACGGATCACTTACCTGAAACTGTTTAAACAAGACAATATAAAGGTTACGAACCCCTTGTTCAGGAACGGTGAAAACGCGTTATCTTGAGGAGTGAAATCTTACAACACAGATAGCTTTGAACACATTGTTGTACAGTGCATGAGATACCCACAATATTCCATTTTATTCTGTTGATCTGTAGGGGCGGATCAAATACACTCTATGTATTATCGATTTTCAAAAAATCTTCCACTCTGTAGTTGTAGACTGAAAGGGACTAGTTGAATCTTCCACTCGCACGCCCTAAAATCTCAGTCATAATTCTCCATTTGGGCCATCTCAATCAGCGATAATGATCCTCGTTTACTCGAAAGGAGGTTGTTGATTCACCCTCATCAGGCTCACTAATGAAAGCGCCAATTATAAACGTTTTTGCATACGAAGTCATATCAATTAGGTTAAAACCATTGCATTTTTAAAGCTGGGTTTACTGCCATAGATTGATTAGTCCAGGTGATTTTTGCGAGTTTGTTCGAACTCGCGACGAAGGGTATCGACAACAAACTCTAAAAACGATTTTGTCCTGTCAGTGAAGCCTAGAGGCATTGTACATTTTTCTCATCCTTGTTGAAAGTCATCTGCAGTGCAGATCCCACGAAACTCCAGCAGGGGTTTCGAAACCACGATCTACAGGCTGGTTGTTTGGATACTCAACCGTAGGTTCATGAGCGCCTAACCCTCTGTGTGATGAGCTTTTACTTATACAGGGCTGTGAGCCACTCAACCTTCAGTCGCGAGACAAATTTGATTCACCCATCAGTGTGATTTTGTTTCCTTCAAAAGTTTGTTTGTTTGGTTTCCTTCCAAACAACGAAGACAGTGCACAGGTATGTATATATGAGGATTTTGTATTTATTAGTAGGTCTCCTAATAACCGTGTGACTGCCTCAGCAGCACGCTCCAATTGAAACGCAGTTGGTGGGCACTGTGCAACGTGATTGATTGGACAAAAGTGACCCCCGTCCTATCGAAATTCTTGAAGTCACCTGTCCTCCGATAATCACTCTTAACCTTTGACTGCACAGGTATGTATATATGAGGATTTTGTATTTATTAGTAGGTCTCCTAATAACCGTGTGACTGCCTCAGCAGCACGCTCCAATTGAAACGCAGTTGGTGGGCACTGTGCAACGTGATTGATTGGACAAAAGTGACCCCCGTCCTATCGAAATTCTTGAAGTCACCTGTCCTCCGATAATCACTCTTGAACCTTTGACTTAGACGAAGCAAGCGGGATTCCCTCACATCTTGTCAAGTGCTTGTATGACGCCAAACCATTAAACGATTTCCAGTGCGCATTTGGCCTAAACGACCGATCTGTTCTGATGAGCATCCTCGCTCACTATGGAAGTTTGTGAATACAATATGTTCTCTGTGCTCTCCAATTTCCGACGCTAAAGTATACCGAGAGCTCTCCAAAAGACTTCTTACACAAAGTGATGTCCGGCAGTAATATTCGCTCCCACCCTTCCTCTCTACTTTCACAAGGTTAATACAAGGTCATAAAAGCCCTTGTGTCCTAATACCTACCGAAGAAAACTTGATCGATCTCGAAAGTGCTGACGACATTGCTCGTGTGTTTCTGAAGGAGGAAAAGGCAACGGTGTCTCTGAATGTACAAGCCAAGATGATCTCGTCCTTCAGCATGCGGTTGGCACCCACAAAGTTTATAGTCACGCTGCTAGACATGCACTCACTGAACACTCCACGTATAATCCAGGGAGAGGTGCCGAAAATTGTGGAGCACTTCACGTTTCTTGAAAGTTGTATTAGTTCCGAGTGCAGAGTAACATGAAGATCTTTAACACCCGGGTTGCGTCTTCCAAGTTGGGACACCTGCGTCAAGAGACCATATCCCTGAATTCCAATGAACATGTGTATCAGGCTAAAGTACCAGCTGTTTTCATAAAGAAAACAACTCATTAGATTACTTTGTGGCTGGTATTATGCTGTACCGACCAGTCGCCCACGCTGGCATAAAAGGGTTTCTAAGAGTCGTGTAGATTATGAACAGGCCGAACCACGACTGGCTCAGTTTTTGCCGTGAAAACAAGAGCACAGGGACATAGTGAACCTAATCTGCCTCTTTTTGGGTTGTTTGTAGACCTTGCTCTGAAGGATGGGCTACCCGAACAAATTTGTTTGCCTCATCCATTCCTTTCAGGTTGAGGTAAGAAGTTTAGTGAGGAAGTGCACGACTGTATGAACCGGGCAACAGATTGATTCAAGAGTGAAGCAGTGTTTAGTTCTTCGCATGAGACTGTTTAGCTTATATTTACCAACGATATGCTCAGGGGTGTTCCGTTAATGCCAATTGGAATGTTTATAAATTTTTACTGGCCATCACACTATCTTTGCACGCTCGGATTTCCCTAGTTCAGTAGCTCAGCATTCCACGGTCTGGTGTTCTTACCAGACTTGCGCAATATTTCGGAGGCACCCCTGGTCAAATTCAGGGAGACTTCTGTAGTCCTCCATAGGCAGCGGCCACGTTTTTGATCAACAAAGTAAGAACCGCGGTATCATACATCCTACCCTCGTTTGTCAAGCTGATGTCATGTCAGTGCCACAAATGTCATAAGTTAGCAAACGCTACCGTGGCCTTCCCACTTTGCAATGATTTCATCTCTCCCCAGACCACCGGAACTCATGCAGTTTCCCAGATGAACGAACTAATCTACTACATCAGTTGGTTGGTTCACCTGAAAGCATGAGGATTAAGTCTTATATCCCTTAGTTTTGCGGCAGTACTTTAAAACTTATAGACGTGGAGCGCATCCCGAAATGTTCAGCAGAACCATTTATGGTGTATAAAATATTTTGCTATTCTAATGGGCCTGATCTAGGAAAAACAATATTGTCAGCATACTCAATTTCCGTGAAAGAACACCCCGATGCTTTTCGATCCCCGAGGTGTTTCTGACGGTGGGAGGGGTGTGGGGAGGAGTGGACAAAGAAATGTGCGTGCAAAATATACTTCCCAGTTTCCCTGGCGGGAGAATAGAGTTTAGATGGGGTAGCACACTTGAGCATTTGACTCGAAAGTCTGACGCACAAGGCACTAGAAGGATATAGAGAGCGACACCAGACTCTCTGGTTTAAAAAGTACTTTGACGGCATTGAATAATGTAGAATCAACTTTTTGGCGATTTCCGTGGTTGACCTCTTTTATCTCGTGCTTCCTCTGCGGAAAGCGGCAACGCCGCTTCCATTAATATGGACATACTAGTCTCCTCAAGGAAGCACCCCATTGCTTTCGCACTCTTACTGCAACGGACAGTATGAACACATCGTAGTACGTTTTTTGCAGTACAGGGTCTAGCTGTTCTTCGTTGGCTAGCTGACTGCTGGCCTTTCTGGCAGAGTTCAGACTTAATAAACTGAGTTCCAGCCAGTATGGCAAGCGGGATCATTGCAGCACTTGAGCCTAACCATCAGGATGGGGTGACAGCTTTCCGTGGGGAATGCGGCCAGGCGACACCATCTTGGGTCCAGTTTCACAGAACATTCATGCACTGTGGTGCACACGCACAAACCATCTCGTTAGTAGGCTGTCCTTTGGAGCGAATTCCACACTTATAACAAAATCAACCGTTGGTTGATCTTGCTTGGGCCCGGTCATGGTGCGCTGGTCATGAGCCTCTTCGGCCGCATGAAGTTTGCTTTGAGCAACATAATCCAAAGCTATACATTTGACATAACCAACGTAGTAAGTCGTCGATCATAATGTTTCTGTTTGGTATTTTAGATCAGGTTCGTGTACATGATCTTCAACAGAAATTTAGTTGAAGTTGACTGAGAAATAGGATATGTCAGTGGCAAATAATTGGTTCTGACAGTATAATGGTGTCATAGATAACACTATTTACCACCATTTGTGCACGTTTTGGAACCTTCATGAACCTACATGATGGGTTAATTGGCACCCGGTTAAGTCTGCGGCTAAAGTTCTGCCTGAATGGAAAAAAATATACCAACGCACCTGTGATCTCAGTAAAACTCGTCCATAGGAAGTAAGCTTTTGTGGGCCAAAGCGGGATGAATTACACTCGGTTGTTGCAAAGGTTTGTGGTCATTTTGCCTCGGTGTGGGTCGGCAAAGAAAATATCTGTCATTATCATCAAGCGAAATTAGTCTGGCTGCGAAGGGAAAACGGCCTGCAGTTGACTTGCTCCAAATACCTGGAATAGCCTAATGTCCTGCGTTTTGTACACAGAATCACTTCAGCGCTCTGATGAATATCCAGGAAGAGGATGACCCAAACCAATTCATGACCTAGTGGCATCTGACGAACGTGCCAGTTGTTTCAGTTTTCCAAATTCCCACTTTTTATTAGTGCAGGACTGTGTAATCCTATTCATGTTTAGTACGTTTTGGCAGTTTTTTGGAATGTAAAGTAGAATCAAGTTTAGGTCCTGTCGTACACTTGAAATATTGGCATATCGGGTGTAATTTCGGACCAATAGGTTATGGCCACAAACGTTGTGTTCCTGTGTGTTACTTCGTTTCGGCAAAGACGACCATTCCTCAGTTCACCTGAAGCGTTCCTGGAAGAGTACAAAGCCAGTTCTGAACTTGTGCTTACTAAATGACATAAGTCAATTCACGATTAAACCTGTTAACGTTGGCATCTTGCAACAACACCATGATATCAGCACCAGAGTGTTGTTTCAGAACACCGCGGATCTTACCGATTTTTTCACTGTCTTCCAAGATCTGCTCATAGACTTTACCCAAGTGCCCATTTCTGGGGCATTGCCGATCTTGCAATTCTTCTCCATTTTCCTCCAAAGTTGACTGTTTTGTTTCACTCATATAGCTCAACTTCGCAAACAAATCAACGGCCTTTATTTCTGGTACGTATACCTCGGTACGGAGAACAAGGTTGGAACCACCTACGAATGAGAGTTATTTTGCTGTTTCTGAAAGAGTGGTACAATTGCGAGTCTAGTTTTGCCGGAATGAGTGGTGCCAGGAAGAAGTAACTACCTGTCACTGGCAAGTACAAAAGCACAGCATTTCCCATCTGGTATTGCTATGCAGGAGAGAGCAGTACCAGTACAATATTTCATTAGAATTGTTAGGCGAGGTACNAAGTAAGCTTTTGTGGGCCAAAGCGGGATGAATTACACTCGGTTGTTGCAAAGGTTTGTGGTCATTTTGCCTCGGTGTGGGTCGGCAAAGAAAATATCTGTCATTATCATCAAGCGAAATTAGTCTGGTTGCGAAGAGAAAATGGCCTGCAGTTGACTTGCTCCAAATACCTGGAACAGCCTAATGTCCTGCGTTTTGTACACAGAATCACTTCAGCGCTCTGATGAATATCCAGGAAGAGGATGACCCAAACCAATTCATGACCTAGTGGCATCTGACGAACGTGCCAGTTGTTTCAGTTTTCCAAATTCCCACTTTTTATTAGTGCAGGACTGTGTAATCCTAATCATGTTTAGTACGTTTTGGCAGTTTTTTGGAATGTGAAGTAGAATCAAGTTTAGGTCCTGTCGTACACTTGAAATATTGGCATATCGGGTGTAATTTCGGACCAATAGGTTATGGCCACAAACGTTGTGTTCCTGTGTGTTACTTCGTTTCGGCAAAGACGACCATTCCTCAGTTCACCTGAAGCGTTCCTGGAAGAGTACAAAGCCAGTTCTGAACTTGTGCTTACTAAATGACATGAGTCAATTCACGATTAAACCTGTTAACGTTGGCATCTTGCAACAACACCATGATATCAGCACCAGAGTGTTGTTTCAGAACACCGCGGATCTTACCGATTTTTTCACTGTCTTCCAAGATCTGCTCATAGACTTTACCCAAGTGCCCATTTCTGGGGCATTGCCGATCTTGCAATTCTTCTCCATTTTCCTCCAAAGTTGACTGTTTTGTTTCACTCATATAGCTCAACTTCGCAAACAAATCAACGGCCTTTATTTCTGGTACGTATACCTCGGTACGGAGAACAAGGTTGGAACCACCTACGAATGAGAGTTATTTTGCTGTTTCTGAAAGAGTGGTACAATTGCGAGTCTAGTTTTGCCGGAATGAGTGGTGCCAGGAAGAAGTAACTACCTGTCACTGGCAAGTACAAAAGCACAGCATTCCCCATCTGGTATTGCTATGCAGGAGAGAGCAGTACCAGTACAATATTTCATTAGAATTGTTAGGCGAGGTACATAGGTTGGAGAGCAGATGTAACGTATGAAAAGCTAATCACCCATGGTTTACGTGGCAAAGCTTTAGATTACTTACTGTGTGTGGAAGAAACGCACAAGTCAGAGATGAAGAACGATAGCATTTCTGTTTTATGTGAACAAAGACTTAGCAACCCGGTTATGCTGGCTGACTAGGAGGATCAGTCCAGAAAAGTCCTTAGTTATAGTCACTGATATAATGGCGCAAACGGCTCTTATGAGACATTAGGATGTCATGGTTTCGTTCACCTTTTATTGCTTACTTGAGGGGATTTTCAACCTACAGGCGGTTCTTTCCCCTGATAACTACCACTCATACAGAGAATTCGTCCTGTCAGTGAGTCCAATCATTGCTAAAAACCGAGAAGTACCCTACTGGTTTATATTCCTCTTGGTTAGTAGCAATTTCTGTGAGAAAGGGCTTTAAAACAGTGACACTGAGCAGCCAGTGTTGAACCCGTGTTGAAAAAAATGCGATATATACAACAGTTTTAGACAATTTTGCTCGCATCCCAAGGCCAAATTTGAACTTCAAAAACCCAATAGGACCAGCAAACTTATTCATTTGTGATTTTTAGAATATTGAGTTAGCCAAGTTAGACTACTGCACCGTAAAGTGATAAATTCGCTCTGATTTATTTCGTGTCATACTTACAATGACTTGGTAGGTTAAGTTTGATTGTAGATAGTTCAGGCTATCAGACACGTCTGCGGCCCCGATCGTGAGGACAGCTTCGACAGTTGAGGAGGAAATGAAATTTAGGTGTTTTGGATGAGTGAATGTAATGGACCAAGATTGTTAAGTAACTGCAACAAAGTAGTTTAATTCTGAGTTTCGAAACTACTACTGTTTTTCACACTAAACATCGGTACGCCAATTAGGCGAACTAATCAGTTCATATCTCCGGATTAAGCACAACGCGTTTTGGTGACGCTCGCTAGCACTCCTTGTGTTGGACGGTTTTCCACTTTAGACGCGCTGTGTTGTACTTATATCCGACAAAACTTATAGACACCAAGAAAGAACTCCAAGCAACATATTCGAAAAAGACAGCGTGGTTTTTAGCATATTACTCGTGGTTCTTCAGTTCCATGATTGCGAGCAAACTGATCATGGGGTTATCACCTCGGTGCAATAAGGAATGATAAACCCAGACTTAGTCTACATGTACTTAGTGGCAAATGTTTTATATAACGCACAAGGATAGTCCGAAATTCATATTAGGGCAGCTATTCTAGACAAATAGCTTACATGACGAGTGAACAGAAGCTAGAACCCGCTTAAGCCGTTGAAGTCATCCGGAAACATTTTGTTACATAGAGCTGATTGTATTTAATTGATGCTCGCTATTCGATGGCATTCGCATTATGCAAACAGGGCGCAGTCACATGGACTAAGGATTTGAGTGTGACAGTGTTAAACGTCAAGATCTGGCCGTCTTGAAATTCGTTCACATTCTTCCTTACTCGCTTCATGAGGGGTCTGATAAGCTACGTGGTGTTCATGCTATTCGTCTCCGTTGTTGCTAGTAACTCCACAAGACGTCATTGACCACCAGTGGCTGTACAAATTGATGTTTGACTGGGGCAATCCACCATTCGCATGGAACCGAAACATGACTAACCCGAGGACGATAACTCTACAGGATCGACGTTAAACAAAGTGCCAAAATTATTGTAGAAATTTCGAGTTATAGTAAGAATTCTAGATGTTTGCAAACGTTCTGATGCGAATTGACTGAATGAGCCCAGCTCAGAGGGCCACGTTTTCGAAAACTCATTAGTTTGTTACCTCAAAGCCTAAGGCTTGATAATTAGTGCTGTTTCCAGTGCAACTGCGAATAATGTGTGTGAATTTTTGGTCGACGAGACAGGCTGCAAAATCCATTCCATTCATTATTGCCTATCGGAATCGTGTGAAATATTTTTTTGGATAGAGACACCATGTGTGGTGAGTGGAGAGAGAGACCGATCGAACGTTCATAGACAATTAAGATACTGTGCGTGGTACGCGAGGTGTCCAAAGCATTCAAAACAACAAAATTCTTGTCTATATTTTACACACTACTCATGAGGTTGCTGAAAAGACCCATGACCGGTTTCGCCCTTCTTGGGACCCATCAAGTTGGCGCACTTCCCAGTGTCTGCCATCATTATGTTCCCTTTTCAGCCCAAACTGGACGGAATTTGGTAACTGCTCTCACTTGCCCACTAATTTAGTTTCAACTAAACAATCTACTGAATCTGACTGATTCTCTGACTTATATCAAGTCCACTTTACGCATTTGAAGTCAATGAAACTCCTTCGATCTATAATTTATTCGAAGTGTTGTAAATATGTGAAAAATGGCTTCTGTAAACATTCACGTAGAATGACGTCCTTGAAATGGGTCTGGGTGTATTGTAGGTCTACTACGGTTTTCAATTTCTTGTTTCCAGGTGAGGATACTTTATGAAGGGGGATACATCGATAGACACAGATGATGATCTGTCGAAACATTCTGGGATGCCAAAGTTGCGGATGCAAACCCAGTCTCCGGGAACAGGATTGTGAAAAACTTGTGAAAGCCAAGAGTTACCGTTGCTCCATACGCACGTGTGACCGTGTGATGTGGATCCCGTGATTGAAGGATGAGCGGCGCTGTATCCTGTCTATGTGCGAGTTAATCACATTGCTGATCAGCCACTCGTGGCCGAACGGTCAAGTGTTCAAGCTACTAGCCGGGAGGTCGCGGGTTCGAGACTCTTCGGAGTTTCGTGAGATGCGCACTGCTGATGATTCCCAATAAGGATGAAACAGCTGTACAGTGCTTCTCGGCTTTTCAGCATAGAGTGGCTTCACTTACAGGAAGAAATCTCCACAATACATGAAATTCCGTGCACAGCCGTTGTTCAAACAAAGCCTGTAGAATAAAAATATAGTGTACTCTTACGCGATCAAACTAATGAAGAACCTAACAAACTTGAAAATGTTTTGGCCCGTTTGCATCGCCATTCAATCACCAGAGATTGTAAATTGGACGTATACGACCCGGTTGTGGAAATGTACAATCAACTTAATCTTCGCCACGACCTAGATATAGAAAAATTCCGTGAGTACAAGCAACTACACCCTTCACGAATGCGCAGTCATTTCGGTCGGTTTTGAAATCTATAGGAGAACTAAGCGATCGTGTATCTACTCACTAGCAGAGTTCAGCTTGTCTCTAACGGTTATGTGAACGTATATATATATATATATATATATCTTGAAAAATCAGTTTGATGACAACTTGCTGGTCTTGTGATCAAACCCAAGCATTTCTTTGCAAAAAGGCAGTTGCCATAGGCCAACGCCAATGTACTGCGGCCTGTGGAAAATTGCGCTGTCTTTATATTTTTCTAAGCAGAAGTAGAGAGACTAGTGGAGCTCTTGCCCTCACTGGCATCTCGTTCTACCCACATTTGTATTGTATTTTATCAACTTAGACAACGGATCCGTACAAGCAACTACACCCTTCACGAATGCGCAGTCATTTCGGTCGGTTTTGAAATCTATAGGAGAACTAAGCGATCGTGTATCTACTCACTAGCAGAGTTCAGCTTGTCTCTAACGGTTATGTGAACGTATATATATATATA